AGGTGGTAAACTTAGTTCCTGCGGTGTTTTTGTTTAAAAAACTCATTTATTTCGACATCAAAAACAAAAAATACATTAATCGAAGTATTTTCCCTCGCTAGCTATACATTTTTCCCGTTCTCTTTCGAGCAACGCGTAGATTCCGCGACGATAGAACGATTGGTCTTTTGATGCAATCCATTCGTCGATCCATTTTCGCACATCCTCGTAATTTCTGAAGTGTGTATCCACCAAGCCGTGCTGCATCGACCGGAACAAGTAATAGTCCGAAGGAGCTAAGTCTGGTGAATACGCTGGGTGCGGGAGAACTTCCCACTCGAGCTGCATCAGTGTTTCTTTGACGGCTTTGGCAACGTGTGGTCGAGCGTTGTCGTGCAAAAGCATGACTTTACGTCGATTGCTGGCTACTGCTGGCCTTTTTTCCAACAATGCTTCATTCAGACGGTTTAATTGTGATTGATATCGATCCCCCGTGATACTTTCGTTCGGTCTGAGTAGCTCATAATAAACGACGCCGTGCATATCCCACCAAATGCAAAGCATTGCTTTGTGGCCATGAATATTTCTCTTTGGTGTGGATGTCGATGGTTGGCCAGGGTCTACCCATGATTTTCTTCGTTTAGGATTATCGAAGTATATCCATTTTTCATCGCCAGTCACTATGCGCCACAAAAAACTCTTCTTTTTCTGCCTGGCGAGCAGAGAAATAGAGATGTTTAAGCGATTCGCAATGGCATTTGCGGTTAATTCGTGTGGTACCCATTTTCCCTCCTTTTGAATTTTTCCCATTGCATGTAGACGTTTGGAAACAGCCATCGGAGTAACATTTAATGCTGCAGACAATTCTTGGAGCGTTTGAGTAGAGTTTTCGTCCAATAATGCCTGCAAATCGGTGTCTTCAAACTTTTTCGGTTGGCCTGAGCGTTCTTTATCATTGACATCAAAATCACCACTCTTAAATCGCTGAAACCATACTTGGCATGTTCTTTCCGATGGAGCATAATTGCCATAAGCTTCGAAAAGCAATTTATGAGCTGCAGCTGCAGTTTTTTTCAAGTCAAAGTAATGAAGCAGCACATGTCGAAAAAACAACTTATCATGTTCCATATTTAATCAAAAGAAAAAATAGCATTGTTCGTTTAAATGAATCTCTTCGTACTGAATTTTATTGACAAATGTCTAACCTCTAAAATGCAGCCAGTTTCAGATGTCAAAATAAATTACACCTACAACTAACGTCATCTAACTGTGAGCCGCAGGAGCTAAGTTTACTACCTAATAATTGAGGTTTTTTGTACTTGCGAGGATACAAGAGAAAACCATTCACATATTGATCGGATAAAAGCAGCAGTAGTTAACGCATCTTCCGGCAATGATTTTTCCTCGACTGCGATTTCTAATGCGCTAGATGTTTTCAGAGAGAAAAACTGATTGCGGCCATATTCATTTTATTGAATTGAGAGGGTTCAATATCTTCTTTACGTAAATGATGTAATCTTCGTACTTCTTTGCCACTATTTACTTCGTCATACCACAACGACTTAATGTATGTACCATCGACTATATTTGTTGGAAGCCTTTCGTGTTGCACGAACCCATTAGGGAGATACACTTTCTGCCTTAAAAGTGCAGATTTCAAATTTTTTAAAATGTGGCAAACATCTGGAATTGCGAATATTTCGTGTTCATGAAACATGAAAGAATTCACAAGAGTCCCATATTTAGAAATATTATAATCCCTAAAGAGTTCCACACACTTCTGTTTCTGTTATCTAAATCTGAAGACAATGCAAGAATGTGGAGACCTCAATTTTCAACAGATGAAATACATTGAAGAGTAAATTCCTTCAAGGTTTGCATATCAATTGATTCTTTAGTCGTTATGTGGCATGCAATGACTTGCTTCCATGGATTTTTTACTCCTCGAAATAAAACTAAAAATATTTTTGTACCAAGAACATCGCTAGTACCTCCTAAAGTAACAAATCCTTGGAATTTACCATTGCTTTTATCATAATCGATTTGTCCACAAATTATCATTTCGTCATACGATAAACAATATGTATCGGTTGGATCCATCATTTCTACTTTGAATCTAAGAAGCTGTAAAACATCCTCAAATATTCCGAAATTTAATTTCAAACCTTGCACTCGCCGCATGATAGTACTATAAGCAGGCAGTGGATAACCAGTACTACGAAGATAATTATAACCATTGACTGATAGAGCAAATCTAAATTTGAGACTTTTAATAATATCTTTGTTTGACCAATGTGCTAATCGCCCCTGTCGCAGCATCTCAATTTAATCATCGTTTAAAAATGTTTGCAGCATGGCGTGTAAATCATCTACCTGTTGATTCAATGCTTGGTTTTCATGTTCTGCATATTTCTTGGCTGCTGTTAATGCAGTTTTCAACTGCTCTTGCAATTGCTCATTTTCTCGTACTATCAATGTGTACTTATCAACAATCTGTAAAATAATAAAAAACATGAAAGTCTAAATATGTTATTAGTATTATTATATAATTTATTTTTAAACCTTTGCTCACTTTTTATTAATTTATGTATTACATTTACAGATGTGACCACTCTTACAATTAGCCTGTCAAATTTAAATAATGCTTTATTATAATAAAGCATTATTTAAATCTGACAAGCAAAAAGTAAATGCGTCTGTAAATGTAATAATAAATAAATTAATAAAAAAATAAACATATAAATATAGAATTCTTTCATCTTATTGTAATGTATCACAGAAACTTACATCTTTCTCAGTGGCTGCACTTATATTTTCATTATTTTCAGCTGTTAAATTTTCATCAGCTATTTCATTTGCAACAGGTGAATTTAATACATTGAATAGCGTCGACACGGCATTGGCTTCAATTTTTTTCAACTATCTGCTCGATCAGTCTCAAATTGCGACTCTTCAAAATGTTTCTAAAATAAGAAAAATGCATATAAGATTAATTACAGTCATTCACATTCATGTAATTTCA